TTATATAAGATGGATGCTTCGCTACGTCCTTGGAGAAATACTAAGATGGCAGTAATTTTAGGGCATAACTAATTATTGTTATTTAATAATGACTCCTTCATTCAGGAATCACTTACGGACTACTTTCTACATGTATGAACCTAGTGATAGTTATCAGGGTATTAAACATTTGAAGATGGTTGCCAAGATTGTTTTCTGGTCAGACATGATCATTGAAAAGTAAAAAGAATAATAATAAACACAACAATAGTTTTGAGGGCCTAATATGCACCTGTGCTTTACAAGCATTACCTTATTCATCTTCCTAACATTTTTCTTTTTAAAAAAATGTTTCTGTTGATTTGAGAGAGAGAAAAAACCATCTATGTGAGAGAGAAACATCTATCCGTTGCCTCCCACAAGTACCTGCCCCAGGATTGAACCTGCAACCTGGGTATGTGCCCTGACTGGGAATCAAACAGGCAAACTTTTGGTGCACAGGATGATACTCAACCAACTGAGCCACATTGGCTAGGGCTCTAACATTTTTCTTAAGATATAAGTATTGTCCCCATTTCCTAGATCTAACAGTGCCTGAAGTTACATATATAGGGAAATTGAATACAAATCTATGAAAGTCTAAAACCCATAATGTTCTTGTCATTAGTATTCTGATGAGGTGGGAACCCACAATCTTTTGGAGAAGATGACCATATTTTGTTTCTCAAGAAACATGGTGTTTATTTATTAGAGAGATGAGGAGAAAGAAGACAAAATTTGGGTGAATTTCTCCCTATTAAAGCTATAGGAATTCCTGAAAATTAATAAGGTCTTACTAGGCAGCACCAATTTTTTTGTTAGATTAAAGAGGTAAAAATAAATTGAAGTCAGTTCTATTTAAGCTAGTTATGGGGAGTGCATGCATGTGACAGTTGCCTTATGACTTTGAATATTTAAATGTTAGCTGCTCCTCAGAGCCACATATATTTCCCATATACTATTACCTTCCTTTCCCCCCTCCACTACACCAGTTTCTTTAAATGACCTAGTTTGTATCATTTTAGGTCAGTGCTGCCATGCCTCTGCCAGTAGTTGAGTTTAAGTTGATTTTGAGGCAGGTAAAATGTAGCACATCTATTCATGATTTGCCTATAAAACAGTTTGTTTAAACATTTTATGGGTGAGTCAGACCACTTTTGTCCACCAGGGTGCATATAACTTGTATACTAGTACATGCATGGTGATAACACAATCCACAGTTAACTAAAGTTCTTGTTTCTTAAATTGCCTTTGTTTAATAGCATAGAAACACAAATCCTGTATAGAGATCGTGTCTATTTTATTCACTACTGTACTCGGGCACATTATGAAAATTTAATGATGAATGAATGAATGAGTATTTTGACAAAAAATACACCTTCAAAATTCATTCCCTTGGATTTACGCTGCAAAACTTAGCTCCATAATAAAATTAACTTCTAATGTCTGTCTTCTTTCATTTGACATTTAAAATAAAGTATGTACATATATAGATAGAAACATAGAATAGTCTTATTCTGTTCTCTTTCCTCCAGCTTACTTTGTACTTTCAGGCAGAATCCTGATATCTATAAATATCCTCTTCCCTATTTAGCAAACCCTGGTAATCCTGTGATCCCCTGTCCTCAGTAGTTGGGTTAATATGATGCTGTATTGTATTTGCATTTGTCTCGCCTAGACCATGCTTGAAATGCCATTTATTATTTTGCTGGAAGAAAATATTAGCTGAACTTTCCATTTCTCTGTAATTTCACTTAAAGGTGAAACATGTAAAGCCATTGTTTCCTGCTGAGGAAAATTGCCCATTAGAAATGTAGATGCCTTGTTTTTTATACCATTAGGTTAATAAAGTTTAGCTATAGTTAGAATGCTTTCTTTTTCATCTGTGCTTTGCTTCTTTTAAGATGAATAGAAATTATATTTTTCTTTTAATCAATTTCAAATAGAATGAGTGCATAAAAAATCTCAGCCTGCAGAATGCAGTATTTTTATTTACTCATTTTTCAAAAGAGACACGCGAGGAAACACCTAAAACATTCATTTTGAACCTTCAAAATATTTTATAGAAAACGGACCTTCTTTCATGATTTCTACACTAGTAGATAATACACGAGAAGAACTGTACCTCTACTGTTGTTTAATGTTCTAATGGGATAAATTCCAGTTGTTTTATAATTTTATTGGAAAGGTAATGAGGACATCTAACCAGGAACTCAGGAGTAGTACAATGTGTTTCCCGTTCTTAGCTTTTTTATACCACCAGTCCCCTGAGGATCTCAGGATTCTAATTTTAACTGTTCTGAAAGAGGGTATTATAAATGAGTGATTGCAATGTGGCTAACAGAAGCCAGGGAGAATTCTCATAAATATAATTTCAAAAAGGAATGGTGTCAAAGTATTCAAGACCAGAAGAGATGAAAACTAAAGAAGTGTCTTGCCTATCTTTTGTTTGTTAGTTTCAAATCTATTCAGCCTCTCTTTCCCAGATCTTTTGGTATAGAATTTGTCTTTCTGTCTTTAACCAAACCTTCCATTTTACTGCTGGAAAAATTTGAGGCATAGAGATGGTCCTTAGCAAGTCAGTGCAAATACAGTACTAGAGGTAGTAAACAAATAGTCTCTCAAGAGAAAGGAATTCTTAATAATTATGCATATTTGCATCTCATTGTCCAAAGACTCAGTTGTTGAGAATTATTGCACAAAATTATTATTTGATCTTAGTGAACAGACTGGTTTGAATAATTGCCTGGTGCAATGCAGATAAAAAATATAACCATTTTATATAATTCTAAGATTGAGTTTGAAGGGATTTCTGCTTGAGCTGGGAGATTAGATTAAATGCCCTTTAAAATCTGGTATTCTTTGTTTCTTGTTGTAACCATGCCTTATTGGAACAAGATTGTCATCTGCAGGACAAAGCAAGTAACTATCTTACAAGATTTTTCTTATGTTCTTGGATAAAAAGCAACATGATTTACTTCCACCCATAAAAATCCTATCTATCTATATAAAACCCTAAAATGCAAATTGACCAAATGGCAGAACGACGACCAAATGGTGGAACGATCGGTCACTATGATGCGCACTGACCACCAGGGGGCAGATGCTCAATGTAGGAGCTGCCCCCAGCCTGCAGGGCGGTGGGGGGAAGGGGGCGGTGAGTAAGTGGTGCCAGGCCAAGGTGGGTGCAAGCGGGGGCCCTGATTGCCCTGCCAGTTGCCCCACAGATAGACCCTGATCACAGGCCAGGCCTAGGGGCCCTACCCATGCATGAATTTCGTGCACCGGGCCTCTAGTATAATAAAAGCATAATATGCAAATCGACCGAACAGCAGAATGACCGGTTGCTATGATGTGCACTGACCACCAGGGGGCAGATGCTCAATGTAGGAGCTGCCCCCTGGTGGTCAGTGCGCTCGCACAGGGGGAGCGCTGCTCAGCCAGAAGCTGGGCTCACGGATGGTGAGCACAGCGGCAGTGACAGGAGCCTCTCCCACCTCTGCTGCAGGCAGGCAGTAAGGAGCGAGGGGTCCTGGACTGCAAGAGAGATGTCTGACTGCCAGTTTAGGCCCGATCCCCAGAGGGTTGTTCAAGGGCTTACTCTCAATTTTGCGTAAATTGAAAAGTGTAAGCCAGCAAGTGGACATCCCCCGAGGGGTCCTGGAGTTCAAGAGGGCGTGGGCTGGTCTGAGGGACCCCCCTCTCTCAGTGCACGAATCTTGTGCACCGGGCCTCTAGTCAATAATAATAAAACAAGAAACAGAAATATTAGGTTACTAGTCAAAAATATCATGGTTAAATTTTGATTTTTTTTTTTTAATGAATGACTTTAAAATTTCCTTACTTCCCTGTTATATCAAACTAGAGGCCCAGTGCATGAAATTTGTGCACTGGTAGGGTCCCTAGCAGCTGCTGGCTGCCTGCCGGGTACTCCCTCCATTCCCCCAGTCAGCCCTGCCCCCTGGTTGAACTCCCAGACAACTCCCGGTCGAGAGGACAATTTGCATACTATGCTTTTATTATATAGGAGGATTCTTTATCTGAGCCCTGGCTGGTGTGGCTCAGTTGATTGAGTATTGTCCCATGCACTAAGAAGTAGCTGGTTCAATTCCTGGTCAGGACACATGCCCAGGAGGCAGCCGATCCATGTTTCTCTCTTTTTAATTCTTCATCTGAAAAAACAGATAATCCACACTGTGCACCTGTTCTGTAAGGGTCTTATGAAAGTTAGATGATGATAAATTATCTTGAATAATGAATTTTTTTCTTCAAATTTTATTTATTGATTTTTTTAGAGAGAGATTCTTGTATGTGCCCTGACCAAATTGTTGTTCCACTGATTTATGCATTGATTCTTGTATATGCCCTGACCAGGATTGAACCCACAACCTTGACATATCAGGACAATGCTCTAACCATCTGAGCTACTGGGCCAGAGCTAAATGATGAAGTCTTAAACGTGAACTGAAAGTCTTAAACAGAGAGCCCAAATATAATTTATATAACTTTTTTGTATTTCTTTGTATAGCACCTTTAACTTACATTAACTTGGGTGTATAATTCTGTTTACTTAAACAACTATTATCTAGTATCTATCTAGTAAGTGCCAGGCATGTGGGAAACAGAAACTATAGTCCTTACCTGCAAGAAACTTCACTCTACTAAAGGAGAAAAATACAAAAGTCAGTTACCTATAGTCTGATATGCTGAGTGCTATCCTCTAAATTTATATAAAGGGCTTTAGGAGATTTGGGATGACTACTAAGCTGGATTAATAGAAGGAGCAGGAATAAGCCATGCTATTTATTAAGTTGTTGAATTTACTAACCGACTTCTGCCAAAACTTAGAAGGGGAAAGCAAATGAAACAAATGTCATCAAAGTGGGAAAGAATAATAATTAAGCTCTCCACAACCAAGAACTTTTTTCAAGGAGAAGGTACTCTGATGTTCAATAATATCAGAGTTAGTGCCCCAAAAGTAATCTTTTTTATGGTTGTTCAAGGGCTTACTCTCAATTTTGCGTAAATTGAAAAGTGCACCAGACCAGGAGGTGAGACTCCTTCTCCTGGGTTTGGATAATGCTGGCAAGACTACCCTTCTGAAGCAGCTTGCATCTGAGGACATCAGCCACATCACACCTACACAGGTGAGCACTGCGTTGGCCCCAGATATTTGTGGGACACACGGAGGATGATAATATGATAATAGCAGTATGAAAGACAAAATGGGAAATATCGTTTTGTCCATTTCTAAGTTTTGTTACTGAGAGAAGTATATACTGTATAAAATAATCTTAAGGTTTCAAAAATATATCGAGATTCCATTCATATGAGATACTTAGTCAAATACATAGAGACAGAAAGTAGAATAATGGTTACCAGAGGCTGGAAAGAGAGGAGGAAATTGGGAATTATTGTTTAATGGGCACAGAGAGTCAGTGTTGCAAGATGAAGAAAGTTCTGTGGACGGATGGTGGTGATGGTCGCACAACAATGCAAATGTACTTAATGCCATTCAACTGTACACTTAAAAATGTAATGGTACATTTTCTTTTATGTATATTTTATAATCTATAATAATAAAAGCGTAATATGCTAATTAGACCGGACATTCTTCCAGACATCCTTCTGGACAAAGCCAGGGCTGCGAGGGAAGCCCAGGTCCTGAGTGCCTGCCGGCAGCCAGAGGGAAGCCCGGGTCCGGGTACCAGAGAGAAGCCAGTGCCGGCGGCCGGCGGAAGGAAGGCCTACTCTTGCACGAATTTCGTGCATCGGGCCTCTAGTTTGTAAATAAATAATATAAATATATATGTATACATATGTCAGGACACAATCAAGTCCCTCAGATCTGATTCCTTTAAAAAATAGCTTTATCTTCTCTGATTATGAAATTAATTCATATAGAAAATATAGAGAAAGTATAAAGAAGAGAGTACTGTGTGAAAACCCACTGTTAATATTTTAGTGTGTATTTTTCAGACTTAATGAACACAAATATATATCCATTTTTTTAAATTACCTATATTTTTAATCCAGTCTCATCAACCCTCCTCTTTCCTAAGGCTTAGCAAGTAAAGCACAAAGGATAAGACAGTGGTGGTGCTCACTGTATGGCAGTTGAAAGACAAGTCCTGGTTGGAAGAACTCCAGTTCGCGTCTTTAGACCTCCTTTCCTGTTGGAAATTCCGAGAAAGCTCGACCTTTGGCCAAGCCTTTGGGTTTCCTAACTAGGAACAGCCCTATTAGTCTCAGCCACTTTAAAGTGCTTGAGCATTAACATTCAGCAAAACCGGGTTTATTTAGCATTTTCTGTCGCCATACCATATACTAAGAGCTTGGTGTCAGGTTTGAATAGCTGTGCTGGTGTGTGTATTTCACAGCCTGTGAATATTACTGATTCAAAACACTTTGCAGAAAAGTCATTTCAACTCTTACCAAATGAGCAATTTTACAGCTTCTGACAAATTTAACGTGTAGTCGAAGAAGGAGCATATTACAGTAGTATAGCCTAGAAAGGCTGAAAACATTAGTGTATGAGGATTTCAGCCAGAAAAAGAAGTGCTAGATTTTGGGGTGTTTTTTGGGGGGGGCTTGTTTGTTTGATTTGTGATAGGCTGTATTTCTCAAGAACATGCTGCGACCATGGAAATGAACTCAAAGTATGGACCCAAAGTTCCAATTCTAACTTTCAGGCTTTGTTTGATGTGTTGTAGATGACACTTATTCTACAGGGTAGGGCAAAAGTAGGTTTACAGTTGTTTGTATGGAAAATAATACAATAATTAATAAATAACACAAGAATAAACTCTATTTCGTGTACAAACAACTATAAACCTACTTTTGCCACATCATGTATTATGTCGTTTTCATATTCTTTAAAAACAAACTTTTATTGTATTTTTGTTTTTATATTTTAAAAAGTAATAGATGCTCATTATAGTAAATTTAGAAAGTATACATAAGTAAAATTGAGAAACTAAAAATCACCTATAATGTCCATTCATACATAACCACTGTTAACACTTAGTGATATATGCATTCAGTTTTTTTCTATGTATATATATATGATGGGTATATTTAAAATAAAAAAGGCTTACAGAGAATAGGCTGTTTTGTATCATCTTTTTCACTCAATACTGTATGTAACATCTTTCTATGTTGTTATAAATATGAATATAATATACATCTCATTATTTCCTTAGAATAATTTCTTAGTAGATTTATTAGGTCTGATGACAATAGAATTTTAAGACAGTTGATACATATGGTTGAATTCCAGGATTTACTCTTATTTCCTGCTTCATTTTAGAAGGATTTTATGTTACTGGATTTGACATGTAATATTGTAGTTATGTATACAATTTCTAAGCTCACAAAAGTGGTTTTGTCAATGAGTCAGAATGAAGCAGCCTTTTACAATAATCTTAAGTCACATCCCTTTAGAGTTCTTAAACTTCATATTTATTCAGTCATTGGCATTTTAGAGGAGCTGCAATCAGCATCATCCCCAGTTATTCTCTAGTGATTATTTATCCTCAGGAGAAATTGGGCGGCAGTGTTCCTGTACCATTGCACTGTGCCTGTCTTTCTGGGCTAGGCAGTAGTGTTGGTAAGCTGCCAGATGAGGCAAATGTTTGTGGAGGCATCCCCAGATGCGCTTAACTCCAGTTATTCTGGATGAAATGTCGTTTCTGGGGTGGCACACTGTTTGGATTTTTCAGAGCCTGATTTCACTAAATCATTTTTGCAAGAAGATATTTTTTTTTATTCTTGCTCATGAAATGCCTTCTCTCCAAACCCCAAAGTTCTTGTTAATTTGTTTCTCTGCACACTACCTCCCAGCTCACAATTCTGCCTGCCTCTGATTTGCTCACCTTCCCCAAAGTTGTACCTTGAGTACCTGTCCTGAAAATGAATGCTCTCTTTTCAGGTTCATTAGAGATACCTAATAAAGAACAGTTTCAAATACCTGCTTGTTTGTTTGTTTTCATCACTACCTAAAATTGAGGGCTCTACTTAGTTTAAACATGCTGTTCCAGCAGGCCCTACCTTTCTCATAATCCAGTTATTAACCAGCCTTCCCATAGTTTCTGAGTTCAGCTCCTTCCTTTTCCTAAGTAATCCATATGAGAAAATTTCTTTCATTTTGAACTACTCCTAAAGAATGCAATCTTCCAGATTTTAGCTTTTGTCTTTTTAAATGTAGCATTTGTTCTGTTCTGTTGAGTTGTCAGATTCAGCTTCAGGGGGTTTTTGTTAGTTAAAAGTAATGTCCTGTTAAATGTTACCATCCTGAGGACTCCTCAGGGATGTGGCCTGTGTTATCAGAGCTACTGTCATACCAAGTTCTCCTCAGTGGTTGTGTGTGTGTACTCATGATAGGAAGCACATATGTTAGCCATGACATTCATAACACTGACTCCACAACCTGAATGAAGTAAGCATGTATTCATACATTTCTCCGTTCCCTACCGTAGCAAACTGTTTTCAGTATTATCAATGTCACCTCTGGCAGAGTACCTCAGAATTAGGAAATAACATAGCTGTCCAATGTAACTTTGTCAGAATTACGATCTCAAAGCTTAAAAAAACTTGTTTTTACCTTTCTTTGTTGCAGGGTTTTAACATCAAAAGTGTACAATCACAAGGTTTTAAACTGAATGTGTGGGACATTGGTGGACAAAGGAAAATCAGGCCATACTGGAGGAATTATTTTGAAAACACTGATATTCTTGTAAGTACTCTTTCCGATGTGGTAATTCATAGTCTTTTCTGCTGGGTTAGGAACATTAACTCTATAAGGTTCTGCCTTGCCAATAATTCCATTGCCATAACATTAATCACTAAATTTAGGGCCAGCAGAAGGCTCCACACTGTAAGAGAGAAACATCTTTGTATAACTTGTATAAGATGTTTTGCTGTCGCTCAGTAACAATGTTATACCCACACCCACCTTGGCAAATAAAGTGTTTATTTATTACCATAGTGATTCGAACAGCAGTAGGGAAGTCAGAAGATTGTGCTGCTAACTCTATCATCCAAGGATATCAACCAATCAAGTGTGTCCCAAACTGAGCAATCAAGATAGTGAGAGTCCTGGAAACAATGATGTGTAAGGAATGGTTGAAAGACCTGACAATGTCCTTCCTGGAAAAGAAAACACTTGGAACTGTCTTCAGTTACTTTAAAAACTATCTTAAATCAAACACTAGCCTCAATGTGAATATTTCTAAAGGACCGGACAAGGAGCAGTTTGGCGAGTATTAGATGGTAGAGTTTAACTCAGAATAAGGAAGACGTTTCCTATAGTTGTAACTGCCCAGAATTAAAGAAGCTGCCTCAGGCATTGGGAATTCCCTGGCTCAGGTGCCTTTGTTCAGGCAGAGGCTGGGATGTTAGTTCCCAGCTCTCTGTCACATTCTCTAGGACTATTTACTGTGTGTCTCCTGGATTAAGGTACTTGGAGAAATACTCAAGTCAGAGCAGTTCATAAGGACATGAATGACTCTAAGGTTCCGTACGGAGGTCTCAGAAACTTTCCGGCCCACAGGTCAGGGAATTTTAAATCATAAGCTCTAACACTTTGAGGGTCGACTGCAAGGTAGTGATAATCTGACTCTGGATCCCACACTTCCCATTTGCTTAGAGCGCCTGGGAAGTATAGAACTAGCCAGCAAAATCAGCTTGCAGCAACCCTGCAGTTACTTTCACCAGCTACATTACATTGCCAGCACCAGACACTATTTTGGATTCAGTGTCAACATTCCATTATTTTCCAGTGCCATTTGGGATTAAACAACTTTTGGGGAGCAGGTGGGTCCCCAGGGTTAAATTCTAAGGCCTGGTGACTCTTAGTTCTGTCTGATAGTTTTGTAGCAGCTTGCCGTGGCAGTGGTTGATGGATTATATTTGTATTTAATAGTTTTCCATTGTTGGTTAAAAAGACCTATTACACTAGACTCCACAACAGTATTGAGGCTTGACACATTTAGTTGCCTGGTTAACACTTTTCAATTATCTCTAGAGTGCCATAATAAATTTTTGCTTTAGAGTGGGTGTCGACAAACTGATCCAGTCTGCCTCCTGCTATACTATAGCCTATGAGCTAAGAATAGTTTTTATACAGTATTTTTAAATGGTTGAAAATTTTTCAAAAGAAGAATAAGATTTCCTCACATGAAAACGAAGTGAAATTCCAATTTCCGTGTCCAGAAAGTTCTGTTGTGACACAGCCACGTCCACTTGTTTGCATACAGGGTGGGCAAAAGTAGGTTTATAATTGTGAATATGCGAAACACAGTTTATTCCTTTATTATTATTTACTAATTATTGTATTTATTTGATTACAACTATAAACCTACTTTTGCACACCCTATATTTTCTATGATAGCTTTCACACTATAACAGCAAAATCCAATAGTTGTGAAAAAGATTGTGTGGGCCACAAAACCGAAATTATTTACTACCTGACCCCTTACAGAAAAAGATTTCTTTAGATCATTAAGTGGTTCTCTAGGGGTTTGAAAGGGTCAGGGCAGCTCCTAAAAGTGCCAAAGATATTCTCAGGGAAGATGACACTGGGAACATTTTACTTCAGCTGTATTAATTGTGGGGAGGTGACTAGTCAATAAAACCTAAAGTAGGATAGGAAGGAGGGGAGAGGCTGTCTTCCATTTCTTTTAGGCCAGGAAATAGCAGCCTTTTGATAGATAAAAATACATCTTTTTTTTTCAAGGTGTGTTCATATTATCACTAAACTCTATTTACTTATTGTTAACAGTTTTGTGTTTAAATGCAACATAATTTAAATAAAGCAACTGTGTCATCATTTCCATAACCAATGTGTAGGACTTAAGTGAGATCTCAAACAACTGTCTCATGTATTATTTCCGTAATGCCACTCACCCCCGAGTCACCTGGGTATCGATACTGCTGCAGCACACATAACTGAAAACCACAAGTTACCCAGAAACCTTATTTGTTGTTTTCAACCTCCTTTTAGACTTTTGCTCAAGCCGTCAATAAAAAGCCACACATTTTAGTATCATCTCTTCTTGGCTCCCTACCCCTCTAGTGGAGAAATACTTGGGAGCAATAAAATGACCAAAAGGTGGCAGCAGGACCAGAAGCAAAAGGAGAAACAAAGAACCCTCCATTCACATGCTGGGTAGTCAGTCTGGATAGTCCAGAGTAGGCTGTACTTCCATCAAAAACAAACAAAAACCTCTTTCGTCTTCCTTCCACAACCAAATAGTCATTTCAAAGCAGTTGCCAAGGAAGATGTGAATTGGCTTTGCTTAAAGCATCATTCTGAGTGCCGTGCATAACTATATTTTAGAATAGATTTATGAAACTTGATTTTTGAGGTTCCATAATGTTTAAAGGTCAGAAGCATTATAAATGTTTTAACTTTATCCGATACTTTATGAGTATTTTTATTGATTATTAATTAATTTTTGGATTAAAAATTTTTACAACTAGATTAACAAATATATATATATTTTTATTTTTTTTAAAATATATTTTATTGATTTTCACAGAGAGGAAGGGAGAGGGATAGAGAGTTAGAAACATCAATGAGAGAGAAACATTGATCAGTTGCCTCCTGCACACTCCCCACTGGGTATGTGCCCGCAACCAAGGTACATGCCCTTGACCAGAATTGAACCTGGGACCCTTGAGTCCGCAGGCTGGCACTCTATCCACTGAGCCAAACCGGTTAGGGCTTATTTTATTTTTTAAGGCAAGAGGCTCTCCTTACCTTTATCTCTGTTGACCAGAAGAAAATTGATACTGGGCAGCACTGGGGTGACAAGCAACCAAGAGAAGCATATACCACTGCAGAAAAACAAACTGATGTATTACTAAATTAGTTGTTTTATAGACTTCTTCCTGGAATTATTGTGTAGTAGTTGTCAAATTTTATAAGAATTATGCTAAATGATAAGGAGAATTAGGCTAAATGTATAGTTTAGGAAAACCCTCCTTTAATTATACTGAATCTTTTAATGGAGGCAATAAATAGCAAGTAATTTGGCAAGTAATTATAAGTAAAAGTTAAAACTTTCTTCTCATTGATCTTCAGCCTCTGGATTCTCTGGTATCATCTCTCTTTTCATTAAAACTCTTCCCATTCCTTATCCTCTCCTGACTATTTTTCATAATATCAAACATCAATTTCCTAACTTTATATTTGTGTTTTCAGCTTTGTCTCAGCCTCCTCTTTTCTTCCCTTGTTACTCACGCCTTTGCTCCCAGGCCCATTTTTTCTTACTTTGAAATTCCTTTCTTGCCCAGTGGCCTGCACACAGCCTTCAGAAAGCCCTCTAAGTCCAAAACACCCTCCCCGTGATCACTTGACCCTCTCCCCTCCCTCACATCTTGAACTATTGCCTGAGTGAAGATAATCCTAATCCACTGTTGACTTCCAAATAATTCTAATTAGGTCTTTTATATTGAGGTTCACCCTCCCATTACATTCCTTCATTCTATATCTACATTTACACGACATCTGCTACCTTAAAAATGAGAGCCTCACTGGTGGAAAACAGTATGGAACTTTGGGTGTTTGTGGTGTGCAGAGCCCATTAATGCATGTATTCACACTGAGTCAAGAGTAATATTAACTACAACAACAATAATAAGGCTGAAAAGAAAATACTGAGACAACATCCTTCCTCCTTTTATGATTCCCCTGAAAGAAACACAGGTGGAAACACAAGGTATTCTTCAGAGGAAAGCCCAAACTTTGTTCCTGGTATATTTAGCATTAGTGATTCTAAATGAGAGTGCATTAAACTTATGGAATTTTAATTTTTTTCTTTCAAAAGAGAGCAAATTTTCAAGTAGCACAAAATTTAACCTACATACAGAAATGCCTACGTTATTGTAGTATATTAGTTTATGTAATTTAAGGCATGTAAAGGTGAGAGTTGTTTTGTGTTGTTGTTGTTTCTAAATGAATACAGCAGGCCCTCAAATAATGTCATTTTGTTCAACATTGTTTCATTATAACATGGATGAGAAGCTGTAGGAACTTAACTCTTGTTTATGTCAATTAGCCTGTGGTAAAGTTGTTTTCGTTATATGTAGTTTTGCTTAAAGTTGCAAAACCTATTGATGACATTGAGGATTTACTGTATGCTCTTTTAAAAGGCTGTTTTCATTGTACCATTAGTTTAATAACAGTTCTGAATTCTTTAAAAGAAGTTAGAAGCCGAAACCGGTTTGGCTCAGTGGATAGAGCGTCGGCCTGCGGACTGAGGGGTCCCGGGTTCGATTCCGGTCAAGGGCATGTACCTGGGTTGCGGGCACATCCCCAGTGGGAGATGTGCAGGAGGCAGCTAATCGATGTTTCTCTCTCATCGATGTTTCTAACTCTCTATCTCTCTCCCTTCCTCTCTGTAAAAAAATCAATAAAATATATTTTTAAAAAAAAAGAAGTTAGAAAATCTGATAATTTTTAAGATTAGCAACTGGGAAAACATTTAATATACCATTTAATTGTTTTAAAGGACTATAAAATTATATCTAATTTTATTTTTAAACTTTCATATGAAGAAGAATTAAGAGAACATTCATACGAAATTAAAATAACATATTTGGGTTCTGTAACTTTAGGCAGTTTTCTTTTTTGCTCTTCCCTTATTTTCTTTATTGTTATAGGGTATTATTTATGCAATAAATAAAATTCAGTGATGGGAGAGAAAGCTTGAGATTTTTAATTTATGGTGAATCTCAAGACTTCTCTTACTCTGGAAAAGGCTATGCCCTTGCTATTTGCTTATAGCCTCCTAGCAGCCTTGGAGGTTATAAGCAAGGTAGGAATGGGATGGAGATCACTGGGTTTCCTGCTTCAGTACATGAAGTCAGCATATAGTTAACACTGTAAATGATACTTTCAGCGTGATGATGTTCGAAGACTAGGATTTGTAGATGTCTCAAAACACCATCCCTCCCAGACAACTTGAGATGCAGTGTTAGCAGAGTGCTTAAGGTATGCTTGAGTTTGAATCCCAATTTTGTCAAGTACTTGATGTAACTTGAGCAAGTTACTTAACTTCTTTGGGATTATGTTTATCTATCTAATAAAAGCCTAAGCGACCGTTATGGCGGAACAGCCAGAACATGATGCGCACTGACCACCAGGGGGCAGACGCTCAACGCAGTAAGGAGCAAGCAGGCAGGTAGTAAGGAATGAGGCATCCCAGATTATGAGAGGAATGTCCGACTGCCGGGATTGGGCCTAAACTGGAAGTCGGACATCCCCCGAGGGTCCTGGACTGCGAGAGGGTGCAGGTCAGGCTGAGGGACCACCTCCCCCCCAGTACACGAATTTCGTGCACCGGGCCTCTAGTTTATGTATAAAATGAGAAGTAGTGCAATCTATCTCATAGAGTTGTAACAAGGATTAATATGGTAAATCTAGCAAGAATGTTTAGTGAGGAGAGGAGAAAATGGCGGAGGCCTAGACGGACGTGTTGGTGCTTTGTCCCGGACCAGATGGGGGCGAGCAGCTGAAACGGGTAACAATCAGCCCGGTCAAGCTGGGGAGTTTCAGCTGAGAGACAGTCTGCAGCCAGGAAAGACAGAAAACTTCTAAAAATGCGGATGGTTGGAGATTGAGGCTGAAACCTCTCTCTGGGCGCCAGCGCAGCGGCGGGACCGCGCCATCTCAGGCAGCGTTCACCGGCATCCAGAGATCGGCTACTAGCCCGGCGGCTACTGACCCGGAGGCAGCGATTCGCAAACAGCGCGACTGCAAGAGCCAAGGGGAGACCTGCACCCCTCCACGGAAAGGTTGGACTTGCCTCGAAGGTACGGTTCGCAGTTCAGGTTGGAGCGAGGAACGCGCGCGCGGGCGCAGGGGAAAATCTGCGTCCGCCAAAATCCGCGCTCTCCAAAATCCGTGCCTCTTGCCGGGGGCTTGGGCGCGCGCAGACACTCCGCGCGGTTCTGGAGGGTGGAACCCTGCGAGTTCCAGCAGCTTCCCAGGCTCTTGTTCGCACACTTCCTCTTACTTCTGTGGCTTTGATTGTTGAGCCCAGTGCATGTGAGTGCCCAGTTGGGGTAACTAGCAGAGCTTGTAGGGGAAGATTGTTTTGGGGGAGCCTGGGAAACAGAACTGGGAGTGGTGCTGGGGGAACCACCTCTGGGCGGAGCTGGTTCAGGTACAATAGGCAGCTCCTGGTCGGAGAGAACTTTTAGCCTCGGAGGTCAACCCAGACACACTGCCACCCAGAGGCAGAGCCACGAACTGACTCCTCTGTAAATACAGATAAGGCAATAAGGACTGTGGCTTACAACAAGGAGGAACAGTGTATCAGAGGGAAAGTCA